AACGACTTAATGGCTATCTCTAGGAACAGTCCTGAGTCCCTAGGTGCACTTAAAAGTTGCCTTGAGGAGTATTCACTATTGTCTGAGGCCTCGGTTAATTGGCATAAGTCGGTCTTTCTCCTACCTAGCCAGTTCACTCCTTCCATTCGATGGGGAATGAAGCAGGCGGAGCTTAACATTTCGGAGAGGTTCCTAGGTGTTCAGATTGCCTTGTTTGACTGCTCGGCCGACCAGGATGGACTACTGCTTCAGAAGACTCTCCACATGCTTTCCACCTGGGGAAAGGCAGTTCATCTTTCAATTTTTGGCAGGGCCATGGTCATTAATGCGTCCCTGTTTTCCCTACTTTGGTTCGTAGGGTCGGTTCGGAGATTGGGTTAACACCTCTGTCCTATGCTTAGGAGAGGAGCATCTAAATTCTTGTGGAAACCTTTCTCAGAAGCTGGTGACTCTTTTATATCCAAAGTTGCGTGGGAACTTATTACCTCCTCTCGCCTAGAGGGAGGGTTGGAGTTAACAGATCCGGAAAGGAGGAATGCAGCAATGCTGGTGAAGTGGATTGTGAACGCTGTTTCTACAGAAAAGTCGGAACATTGGATTCTGCTCGGAGAGTTGATCTTGATGAAGGAATGAAATCTCAGTCGCCCGGAGGATATATGGGTTGCCATGCTTCTTTATTCGTATCAGAGAAGGGTAGTCAAGTCGCCCTTTTGGGCTCCCATCATTCAAGCTTGGAGACGACTCAAACCTAACACCTGGGAACAGTCGACCACAAGATAGGAGGTTCTCAATGAACCGATCTTTGAGAACCCGCACATTATTGACTGTAATGGTCAGTGGATCAAGGCAGATTCTGCCTCAGGTAGTTTTGGTCGTTCCTGGATGGAAAAGGGTGTAGTGACAATCAGAGACCTTTGGGACGCATTGAGTAACAAGTGGCTTTCGACGGAAGACCTTCAGCTGAGACTCGGCTCAATCAGACTGGTTGAGGAGAGGAGAAGCATGATATTGGCAGCTATTCCAACAGCATGGATAGCTCCGCTGGATCCAACCAGCCTAGATCCACCTGGTACGTGGTACTGGTCGGCACTCAACCCGACTGAGTTTTGGAAACTCATCGCTCATACAGATGGGAGAAGAATTTTTCAGTGTTGGACTAGACAATCTTCTGCTAGCGCCACCTTGCAGCCAAATTTGGAACGTACCCACCCAGAGCTGGGAGCCCCATTAAGTCAGGTCAGAGTGTTCGAAAACTTGGAGCAGGATGACACCTTGTCATGTTTACTGTTTGCAGACGGTCAACCCGTTGAATCAGTCAGGTTGGACCCAACACTTTGGGCCTGGAGAGCTAAAGGCATGAAAGGAGAAAATCCTCCAATTCTGAACTATACGGCTCAGATAGGTTACAAGCTCCTCAGTCCCCCAAGACAACCCTTAGCGGTTGCAGTTGGTAGATGGATACAAGTGCTGCAACTTCCACCGGAGGACATCAGGTCAGCCATCTCTAAGTGTTGGGAGCAAATTAGAGTGATCCCCAATCAAAGACAGGCGGCTCTCATCTGGCTCCTGTCCTATTTGGCCACCCCATCGGCAGTTTGGTTAGCACAAAGAGGGGTCCCGGTAGACCTAACCTGTTGTCGCTGTCAATGGGCATTCGAGTCCACACCGCATTTGTGGTGGGACTGTCCGGCCTCCAATAGAATTTGGCAATGGTGGAGGAGATTCTGGACAGCCCTTGCTGGTCAAACACTCTCATGGGATAGGGAATGGGTTCTATTAGGAGGCATCCCAGAGGACTTACAAGTTGAGACAGGTTGGGGTTATGTTGCCCAAACAGCAAGGGCTGCGGGAATGGAGGTGATTTGGTATGAGAGGAACTGCAGGGTCTTCAGGAAGAAGGAATTGAGTAATAAGGAGATTCGTCATCGCTTCAGAACAAATCTGCGCAGATCGATACAGGCAGATTGGAGGCGGAAAGGTTGCACAGGGACAGCCTCGGGCAGATTGTGGTTTCAGAGAACTTGGTGTCTCAACAAGGATTTAGCTAGCATATCAATGGCAGGCAAGCTGGAACTGGGCTCTTGGTTTTACTTGGATGGGTAATTCTTCAACTATAGTTCTTATACCAGGGCACACGGTTCTTGAGCCGCAGTGGGCAGGCAGAAGGGGACTTGGGTTTGGAGGGAGTGCCAGTAGGTCGTAGGGGTCCGTTGGGACCATCCCCGCCGAATTAGGCGGATGATAGGTTCATAGTTGTCTGATAGGTTCATAGTTGTCAGACTGGTTTGACCTTTTTCTTACCCCTTGCCCCCTTCTTTCCTTTACCCG